AACCATAATTAATTTTTAAATTGTTAAATCATGATATAAAACTGAGTTAATTTTTAATTTGTTAACTTTTAATTTTTTTAATTTTTTAAATCATTATGGCTATGTTAAATCATGACAATAATTAATTTTAAATTGTTTATTTGTATTCGAAAAACTTAAAATATTGCTTTTAAAAATAATTTTAAATTTAACATAATTTCTTAGAAAATTATTTTTAAAAAATATAATTTTCTAATATTATTAGACAAATAAATAAATTATATTAAATTAGTTTAGAAACTTTATATATTTTAATTGCAAATATTTTACCAATTGCTTCTTTAAAAACATTTGTGAACTTGCTATACTCTACCAATCAAGTCCAGTGACACTCCATTTATTTTCCATCACTCGAACACTGAAAAGTAAAAAGATATATGAAATCAGATCCATTAAATTCTAAGATTTGATTTACATTTCTAATTAAAATTCTTTTTGATCATACGTATAGATAATTATATAAAAATTCCAAAATTCTAAAATTTCAAATACATACAAAAACAATCATATGTAAATTTTAAATTTGTGAATATTAAAATTTTATATTTTAATTACATATATTCACCCTGCGCAAGGCGCAGGTCTTATCCTAGTATTATATTGAAACAGAGGGAGTATTATTCATAATCAGTTTTACATGCTCATCAAGTAACTAAGCAAACATGAACAAAGACCAAATTAAACCCGACCCGAGGGCATAAAATTTAAGAGCAAGCTATTGAGCCCGACAGGATCTTGATATCGAACTTCTCGGCCCATACATATTTGAAAACTATCTCACTTCTGTCAGCTACACCTTCGAACACCTTACACTCGTTACCGGATATGGATATCTTCGAACGGTCGATGGGTGTGAGCGATTTTAAACCAACACATGCCAACACTATGTCTTGGGCATAGCAGTAACAAGGGTTCGTCAATCTCACTTCCCATTCTGGTGTGTTCTTGATCATTTTTCCGGTTTTAGATTGTTTCAGATATATATATCATCAAAGGTTCCAGTACACTCACCAAATCCTAAAATTTCCAAGGCGAAAGAATTATGAAAGAAAATTTGTTATAGAATACACATTACGTGATGTTATGTTAAAAACGGTGTAAGCCTTAGACGAATTGGATCTGGTATATACCATATAATAATGTGCGAAGATTATTAACATTTTGTTATGTATAAATGTATTATAACTATACCTTGGGAGACGAAAGCAAAGAGGGGAATGAGGCAAAGGAATTTGCATGCGTTAGTTGTCATGGTTTGATCTTTAGATATTATCAGAGAATATATAACTTAGTAAATCTTAGAATGTGGCTGCTCAATTGTGATGTTAGTGTTATTTATAGGGAGGTATTGGGTTTATTTTATACAATAAAATATATTTTATGATTAAAGATCATAAAATATTGTATCTTTAACAATATTTTTATTTGATTTTGATTTTGGTTTGACCAAATTAGTAAAATTAATTGTACAGTACAGTTTTGTTGACAATATATTTACATTTCATGAATAGATACAAAAACATTGATGTGGATTTCCTTACAAGACATGGAATCGATATTAGCAACTCATCTTTTATGAATTCGTACTAAGATTTATCTTTGTATCTCATAAAAAAATAAAAAATAAAAAGTTTAAATGCTGGCTTGGTTCGCGTGGAAACCGTTTGGAACAATAGGCGTTACGGAACCTCGTCAAACAAAAGCTAGTGGTCCCTTTAAAGCACCCATGAGAACAACATGATTGTCAGATGATAGAAACGCTTTTCCACCAATTCTAAAATGTTCAGTATAGGTCTATTATTTATTTATTATTTTGGTAATCAGGTGTATTATAGTTTGCTGACAATTTTGTAAGTTTACTACGGCTTCAGCAAGGTTTGCAACTAAAGATCTTATAAAACTCAGTCAACTGTCTTTGAGAAATTAAGTCTACTGTTTTTATTTTCATCCTTTCAAAAAGATGAAAGCGTGGTCAAACACTACAGTTGTAGGGAGTACGGGCTTGGATGAAACTATGGCTTAGAGAAATATAATAAAAACACTCAAATTGTTTTGTCAGCAGAATGTGAAATGTAATAACTAAAACAAAGGACGTAAAACTCAATAGTTAAAACGAGTATATCTTTATTAATCTAAATCTTATTAATTATTCAGAATATATAACAATGATCATCAGTTTTTACATGCTCACCAGCTCAAGTAACTAAGCAAACATGAACAAAGACCAAATTAAACCGAGGGCAGAAAATTTAAGAGCAAGCTATATCGCCCGACTTGATCTTGATATCAAACTCTTTGGCCCATACGTATTTGAAAACGAAGTCAGTTTCGCCATATAGTTTGTTGATGAGCGAACACTCCTTATCGGATACAGATATCTGCGAACGGTCGATGGGTGTGAGCGATTTGAAACCGTCACATGACAACACTATGTCTATGCCTGTGCAGGAACAAGGGTTCGTCAATCTCACTTCCCACTCTGGTGTGTTCTTGATCATTTTGCCGGTTCCCGATTGTTTCAGTGATATATCACTAAAGGATCTAGAACACCCAAATCCTAAATTTTCCAAGGCCAAAAGAATTATGAAAGAAAATTTAATTAGTTATAGAATACACATTACGTGCTGTTATGTTAAAAAATGGTGTAAGCTTTATACGAATTGGATATGGTATATATAATAATGTGTGAAGAACTGAAGATTATAACATTTTGTTCTATATAAATGTATATAACACTTAACCTTGGGAGACGAAGGCAGAGAGGAGAATGATGCAAAGGAATTGGTATGCGTTTGTTGTCATGGTTTGATCTTTAGATCTTTAGCAGGGAATATATAAAACTTAGTAAATATGAGAATGTGGCTGCTCCACTGTGATGTTAGTATTATTTATAGGAAGGTACTGGGTTTATTTTATACAGTAAAAGGTTTTGGTACAGTTATAAGTTATGTTGACCAAAGAAAGAAGTCGGTAACGGTTACTCAACTGCTGTCAAATTGTTCTTACAGCTATTCACTCTATTATCTTTCTTGTGTTCATTTGTCTGATTTGTTAAACGTCGAAGTTAATTCTTTGACAGTAGAGGCAAAGCTCTAGTTAATTCATTAGAAGAAGTAGAATTCAAATAATGTGCATGCAAATAAGAACGAATAAAGATGAAGAAAATAGCTTACTCGTCTCAAAATTTAAATATGCTTTCCCCTCCGTTTTATTAAAATGTTATTTTGATACTTCTTTTGTTACAAGTTATCATCATTTTAGAATTTTAATGTAAATGTATTACAAATATACCAGTTTTAACTTCCAATCAAATTTAAATATATTTAATACCACAATGACTAATGATTAAATTAAACTAAATGCAATACATTAAATTTTATCAGGGATATAAATATTATTAATGAGGATATAATAATAAACAAACACACATAATTAATTGCAGTCTCTGTTCGTGTGGAAACAGTTTGGAACAATTGCAGTCTCATTCCAGATCGTATATTTCATATATATAATCCAAAGACTGGAAAGCATCAAACGAAAAAACGGATAAAGCATCCCATGATGATGACTGGATATTAAGATTAGATATAAGCACATGGAGTTTCTGAGATATATGCAAAAAAGTCTTTTAGAGATTCGATTACACTACCTTGAGTAACCATAGATAGAAGTAGAAACATAAGAAAATACTTAAGAGCAAATGCCATTGTTATTTTGATTTTGTTTTTTAAGAGATGGAGAGTGAGAAAATACTTAAGAGCAAATGCACATTGTGAACAGTAATACTGATAATAAAATGACATAAAACTCAATAATAAAACGAGTATATCTTTATTTGTCTAAATCTTGTAATGATTCAGAATATATATGTGTAATAATGATCATCAGTTTTTACATGCTCATCAGCTCAAGTAACTAAACAAACATGAACAAAGACCAAACTTATAATTTAACCGAGGGCATTAAATTTAAGAGCAAGCCATTTGGCCTTTCTCGATCTGGATATCGAACTTCTTGGCCCATACGTATTTGAAAACGAAGTCAGTTCCGCCCTCTAGATTGTTGGTTATCGTACACTCGTCATTGGTTATCGATATCTGCGAACTGTCAATAGGTGTGAGCGATTTTAAACCGACACATGTCAACACTAAGTCAGTGGCTGTGCAGGTGCAAGGGTTTGTCAATCTCACTTCCCATTCTGGTGTGTTCTTGATCATTTTTCCGGTTTTGGATTGTTTCACATATAAATCCTCAAAGGCTCCGGATCCATCACACCCAAATCCTGAATTTTCCAAGTGCAAAAGAATTATGAAAGAAAATTTGTTATAGAATACACATTACAAGATGTTATGTTAAAAACGGTGTAAGATTTAAACCAATTGGATCTGGTATATACCATATAATAATGTGCGAAGATTATTAACATTTTGTTCTATATAACTGTATTATATAACTATACCTTGGGAGATGAAAGCAAAGAGGAGAATGAGGCAAAGGAATTTGCATGCGTTAGTTGTCATGGTTTGATCTTTAGATATTACCAGAGAATATGTTCAACTTAGTAAATCTGAGAATGTGGCTGCTCATTTATGATGTTAGTTTTATTTATAGGGAGGTATTGGGTCTATTCTATACAATAGAATACCTTTAATGATTAAAAATATAATTTAATCAAATTTATTAAAATTAATTTATAGTAATCAATATTGTTAATGATATATTTACATTTAATGAATAGATATTGATAAATATAAAGGTATAATTTGGGAAAAAAATTCTAGTGTAATTAAATATTCTATATTTATATTATAATTATTTTTAGTATTATATTTGATTATATTAATTTAATTACAATCTATTAGTTATTAGCATATTTCAAAAGAAAAAAATTATCATACATACAAAATTACACAAATGTATATATCCACCTCATAATTAGTTTTAAGCAATGTCATATTTATTAGTAAGTTATGTCATCTTTATTGAGAATGAAAGTAATGACAACACAACTAATAAAAAAACTATTTGAAATAATTTATAGCATAATTTTTGGTACAATTATAAGTAACATTGACCAAAGAAAGAAGTAGGTATTGGTTATTCAACTGCTATTAAATTGTTCTTACAGTTTTTCAACTGTTTTAACTTTTAGACATTTGCCTAATATATTCTATTAAAATAGAATCTTGACTGATTAAAAATATTTGGTCAAACTATTTATTATTCATGTATTACTTTTTTATATTAATAATTATTCCTAAATGATTAAACATAAATATGAAAATGAAGAGCAAGGTCACATGTGTTTTATGAAACAGTTGCGCAATTGGCAATTGAAAGGAGAGGATTGCATTGTTAAGGACACTCTCGTCAGTCTTGCTGGATTTCATATGGACCATGAAGCCACCATATGACAGCATAATTAATGACACCAACTTCACTTGCAATCAACTACGGTCTTATCCGTATGATAGTTAAAGTATTGATATGTTCTGACACATTACAAATCTCATATCCTTCCAAGTTAAGATTATATATGTGTTTTTGGTCAAACACTATTGTAGTTTTGCTGAGATTCGGGATAAAAAGTTATGTAATAGACAGACGAATGATGAATAACCGAAAAAAGTAATAGTTAATTCACAGATATACCATTTCCCCCATTATCTTACTCCAAAGCTCAAGGGGTATATGCCCTAATCACAAACTGTAATGACTGGCCTAATCATACTTTCATTGTATCAAAAAGAACTATAAAAATTTGGTATCAGCTCCATGAACATCCTCCAAGAGTATCGAAGCGCCATGGATGTGATGAAAATCCGTTGGATTTGGTTTGGGACAAGGGAACCAGCTACGCAGTGATCATGCCATGGAACAGACTTTTTCTGCCAAAATGAATAGATTTACATTGGTCATCAAGCAGCTACTAAGACAAAATGATCTAATTCCTAATATCGGAAAACCTTGGCATTCATTCTTCAGTAAATCATGTGAACAGCTTTTATTTGTGAGAGACTAGTAATCAAACCTTGTCTTGTGCTGCTGCAGCAAAGGCGGTTATCGTCTATATATGTTGCCTGGACACCAATCATCCAAGATCCAATGGTAGTATCATCAAACGCATATGTCTTCAACAATCCACTGCATTTATATAAACACCGTTGGAGAAAGATTGTGAACCGAACTTAAGGTGACTAAATCGTACAAACTGTGGAAACCTAACCTGTTTATATTGATATACTGAGCCAGATTCTTGGATAGTATTACAAGCGAACCAGTTGCATGACGGAAGTACCTAAATAAAACAAACAAAGAATCTGAGTACAGACAACAATAGGAATTCTCTCCCATTTGAGTATTGACAGCATCAAACAAAAACTCATGCCACTGACTGACCAATGACCATTAAGGTAAATAACAAATGAGACCTCAATTTCGGTAGAAACATAAACGAGAACTTACGATTTGTCATCTCCAAATTTCCACCACTCAGGCTCGTACCATTGACTTCCCCTGAACACCAAGAAACAAACCATGGTGGAGTATGAAAATGAGGATTTGTTTTACGTCAAAGCTTGTAATGCTCAGTATTATAAACTGAAGAAGGTTGAGTATATACGAACTCTTGAGTAACCACATCTCCAGACTTCATGCACCCAATGTAAGCACCATCTTGCCCACGGCGGCTTTCAAGTAGCCCAATCAACCCCTCTGTTAGATCCCAAAAAACATTTATCACACAGATACATTGTTGATATCCTGATTGGACCAAAAATGTAGATTTTTTCAATAAGAGGAAGTATTACCAAGATCAAGGTCAACGTTATCATCAACTTTGACATAAAACTCTGCATCCCAGTTCTGAACAGCAGCGCTGTAGAAAAACTTCACTTTCTTTGGTAACTCTTCTTGGGCTTCCTCGTGATTCTCCTGATATATTTATAGATTGGCAGCCACAGCAGTGAGCTGAGATTCAAATAAGCAGGCAACGAAAAGAAGTAATAAAGGTTATTGCTTACTTACAAGAATCAAAAAGTCTTTAGTTGCACCACTTTCTTCATCAATTTTCCGATCTAAGCTATCACCTCGGTTAGCACTGGAATATATAAAGCATTTACATCAGTATTATCATCCATATGATGAGAGAAAGCGTGAAAAAAAACATTGCCAAAAAAAAATCAAAAGAAATGAAGACTAAAGTGAGTAGGAAAAAACCTCCGACCAATCACAAAGCGTATGACAACTCCTCTTTCTTCAAGCTTTTTTAAAGCATCACCTGAAGAGAAGAAAATGTTTTTTTTTTAAAGTAAATCATTGTGGGATGAGCAAACAAAAGATAGTGACATTACTCTAACCTCGTGGCATCCAAGAACCTCTAAACTTATTGCGTTTCAAGTGACTCCCAAAGCCTGTGTAAACTCCAATAACAGCAAGCAGCTTCTTATTCCCTGAAGAAGAAGAAACACTTTTCTGGTTTTTAAGATAGCCTTGACTCTTCGCCTGTGCCAACTCCATTTCAGTTTCCACAATTCTCCTCTCAAGATCTCTATTAAACAATTAGTTACATCTTCTGTTAAGTAAAAGCAAATGATAAGAAAATGACATCATATCAGAAAAATAAAATCAGCTTACTTGCATCCAAGAACCTTCAGCTTATCATCCACCGTAAGAGCCTTAGGCCTCTACACTCCACAAGAACATGATCAACATTGAATACAATTAATTCCGATATGAAACATTCTCTTGAAAGATTTGAGAGAAGCAGAAGAAAAGACCAACCAGTTCATAATTTTTCTGAAGCACAGTGTTGAGTGCGACTCTATGCTGCGAATCTTGCCACAACCTAACCGTAAACAAAACCAACAACACAATAACAGAAATCAGAACCAATTGATACGGATCCAGGGAACGAATCTGAGCCTGTGAGAGATCTATGGACAATCATGAATTCAAAACAAGTGTTCAATCACGATCACAACCCCTTAAACACTATATAATGCCAATTACGTTACGCATTGTTTAACAACAAATCTAGAAATCAATGAGAAGAAGGGAACGTACCGGCCAGCAACGTAGAGCCAAGCAAGACAGGAGAAGAAGGCCATGATAAGAGAAGGCTTGGATGTGTTCTGAGACTTGGAAGACCTTCCTCTCCTGTCTGATTTCGATGATATTGGTAAGCTCTCCATCTCGATCCACGGCGAGACAGAGAGATAGAGAGAGATCGGAGGCAAGAGAGACGAGGAGTTTAGATTCAGAAGAGAGGAAGTGGAGAAGGGAAGCAAACAAGAAGTAACAGATGATTAAGTTTTGTTAGATATGTTTCCTTGTCCGGATTCGATGTTTTTTTTTATTAATAACTTTTGTAGTAAAGAGGAACCGTTTCTCTTGTGGTCGTCGGAGATTGGTTTATCCCGACATGATTCCGTTTTCAGTTGAACAAGAACATTGTTTCTTTAATCACTTTGATCCAGAACAGAAGTAAGGTGCATGGGGGCCCACTGGGCTCAAAATCTGACATTTTTATTTTGCTTAGTTTTACGTTACTTCAGTTAAAAGCGTTAATAATTTACTTGTCGACTTTATCTGATTTTTTTCCCGAAAGTTTGTTACTAGAGTTCGGGATGTTGCTTTAAATTTTGTTACTAGAGTTTGATTACTTTGATTTTACTGATATAGAGAGAATTAACTCTATGTAGAGCATTCTCAGCCATGACCAAACAATCCCAACGTTAATCACTAGAGCAATAACGTTTTCTTCAAAAGAAACTTGCTTGAATTTATTACAAGCTTCTATATACATTCAATTCATTCGGTCTGTATTCAGTTCATATACATACCTGTGATCTGAACAGTAGAATTTGTGTATTTCCTTAAAGATATTAAACATAGTTGCCACACTATATTAAGAGAATGGATGCAATAGACTCACTTGAAACATTCCAAACCAAAAAGTAAAAGAGAAGAGAAGCAAAACGTTTAACAAGAAAGGGTAAGCCATAAGCAAAATTTAAGGTTCGCTTGCCATGAGTCTCTGCACATATAACAACAGTCCAGCCCAAAATGCTGCACTACTGCACTAACAAAACACCATCATAGGCAGTATTCTTGTGGTTAAAATCATGTAATCCCTCATTTCGTTAATGAGAAGTTGATGTTTGAGTTTTAAAAAAAAACACCAGTTGGCAACCTAAAGTTAATTAGATCGTTTAAGGAATCTTCTGACGCTGATCTCTTCCAAAGGCTCGTCAGAAGTGTTTAGCCGGTACATAGAAGAAGTTCTGGGTCTTGGACGTGAACAGCTTATACTGGTTAATGTTATTATCACAATGATTGCTACTAGATAGAGGACCGGCAAACATATATTTTCAGTGAGATCGTATTTTGTCATTTCACCATGTTTTTGGATAAACATATAAGCCCTATATAGACAACAACAACGATTGATACTTTTATTAATCAAATTGAAAAGAAACAATTACAAGGATGAGAAGGAGGAATAATGAAACACACGGAA